TATATCAAAACATTGAGTAATCTGATTCATTGCTGAAGAATTCCATCCCTTCCACTTCTTTTCCTTTATATTCTTGTTCTTCATTTTTATTTTTTGATTCATCACTGGAGAATTCCATCCCTTCATTTCATATATTTTTTATATTCATTTCATTTCAGGCGTTTTAAATGGTCCTGATATTCGGAAATTGGTAAAGTATGAAGACTTTGACAGAGAGAAATCATCATTGGACTTTTAGGCAAACATCGTTCTCCCAATTATGAAGGATGCGACGAATGTTGGATGTTTTTTCCAAAATTGAAGTCAATATGTCGCTAAAAATTAATTTCCCTCATCGCCATTTGGACTACTTCAGTCGACAGTTATCGACACAATCATCAAACTGCGATGCCATTTAAGTCCAGATAAAGAGGAAAACGAGCTCCAGATGACATACTAGTCGAAACATTTTGGTGAAGTAATAGTATATTACACTACAAGGGTAGAAAGTGTGAGATTCCTACACTGCGCGCCATGATGCCCGAGGCTTTTATAAAAGAAGTAATTTATAAAATACGCACACAAAACTGAACTTTAAGTTTGCTTATTTGCTAGAAAATAATGTTTAAACAAGATTTTCCAAAATATTCATCTTTTCACACTCAACACCAAATATTTTGCCGAAAAATCTGTAGGAAAAAATTGAATAGATAAAATACAATTGTAGAAAAGTACAGAGTTTGATTTTTTATTTTGTATTAATTTTATTATTAAAAAACTTTTTTATATCAAAACATTGAGTAATCTGATTCATTGCTGGAGAATTCCATCCCATACTATAGTATACTTTACAACATTTTTGCCAGAAGAAGTAGCAAGAAATTTTAAATATTATCAAAAAAATTTAAAAAAAAAAAAAATATTTTCGAATATTTGGTCCCAAAAATTGGGTTTTTGGGATAAAGGTTGTTCACAAAATGGGTTTATTTGTGCAGTATCTACATTTCTACAAAAAATCTTGACGATATAAGTCGAATATATGCGAAAAAAATCGATTTATAGGTCTAAATTGGGGTATATAAAGCTCGAAAATACAAAAGGCCATAAAAAAAAAATTCGAGCTAACTTTTACAAACCCAGCGAGGGTTTTGCTATTGGATAGGTATATTTTCAGAAAAAAATGGTCCGGTGCGGTTTGATTTCGAAAACCCGAAAATTGTCGCACAGTGTAATTTATATCCGCAATCATCCGTCATTTTCAGCAGGGTTAATACATTTTTCATGATTACTATTGATTAAAGTTCGACGTCTATTTCCATCATCAGGCCGACGCAAAGTGTTTCAATTCTAGAAATTTTCGGCAAAATATCATGAGTAGTAGAATTCTCCTAAAAATCCGTGTATGAAGGTTTTTGGGGTCGATATAACGAATCTGGAATCAGAATTCCAAAATTCAAAATGGTAGATCCAAAATGGCGGACATATTTGTAAAAAAATTGACGGAATAAATTGAAAATCACCATACAGGGGTTTTTGTGGTCGCTGGTAATGAATCTGGAATCAGAATTCCAAAATTCAAAATGGTAGATCCAAAATGGCGGACATATTTATCAAAAAATTGACGGAATAAATGTAAGTATGTCAGTTTTTTATTTATTACCCTTTCATAGAATAGTTTTGGGGTCGCTGATAACGAATCTGGAATCAGAATTCCAAAATTCAAAATGGTAGATCCAAAATGGCGGACATATTTCGTCACCTGAGAATTATAGTGTTCTATCTGCATTTTCTTTTTTTTATTCAGGTTAGTCTTATTTTAAGTATTAAAGATGCATATTGTTCTATCTATATATAATTGGGGTAGAAATTGTACAGTTTAAGCCTTAAACTTTACAATTTCTACCCCAATTATATAAAGATAGATCAATATCATCTTTAAGACTTAAAACAAGACTAACCTGAATAAAAAAAAGAAAATGCAGATAGAACACTATAATTCTCAGGTGACGATTTGTAAAAAAATTTACGGAATAAATTGAAAATCACCATACAGGGGTTTTTGTGGTCGCTGGTAATGAATCTGGAATCAGAATTCCAAAATTCAAAATGGTAGATCCAAAATGGCGGACATATTTATCAAAAAATTGACGGAATAAATTCCAAAATTCAAAATGGTAGATCCAAAATGGCGGACATATTTATCAAAAAATTGACGGAATAAATGTAAGTATGTCAGTTTTTTATTTATTACCCTTTCATAGAATAGTAATATTAAAAAGTAATATTTTAAAAGTATATTTTATATAAACAATATCTTAACGTCCAGCAGAAATATAATCTTAAAATCATATATTTACAATGTAAATTTTACATGTTCTAATCACCAGTGGCGGCTGGTGAATTTGGGTAGGTACACCGCGATATATCAGTTATTAGACATGGGACCCAAACCAAATTTATATGAGTTCATAATGACAAGTTCTGCGCAAGCAGAATTTGAATTAAAGTTTGTAAAAAAGTTAGTTTTTTAGCCTCCGGTCCCCCAAATTAAGATAAATCAAATTAAAGTGGTGCAATATTTAATTCACTGCAGTTTATCGACAAATTTCAAAATTTATTTATAAAATTTATATATAACAGATTTTATACTAAGTATTTATGCAACGATTTCTTAATTCGCTAAAAAAATTCTCAACACAAATAACCACAATTAAATTTGACATTAACACACTACAATGCGCATGCGAAGTTGTTTTAACGCACCTACAAGAGAAGGGTTAAATATGTAAAATCGGTGTTAAATATCTTAGAAGTCACGAACGATTTACGCAAGTGAAAGTCTAGACACCGCTGTTGTAATAAACGTTTTGAGTTAAATCCGAGTGAATCAAGTGAACGCAACCCAGAAATAAAAAAAAAATCTTATATTTTGTAAAGCAAAAACACAGATACGAGCGCGACATAGGCTTAAAATCGCGAGTTTTTTTTTTACCACAACCGTGCCTGAGCGCCCAAGAACATGTAGCCGGGGACGAGTTGGGGCAGATAATTTATTAATGGCTTGATAGACAAAACTCTAAGCTATTCAACGGATCTTGAACTGATGCCTTACAATTCATTACAATTTTTGTAGCTTCATTGTTCTAAAAGCTCGATTCAAAGTTTGCGATTTTAACAGACCGATCTTGTCGGTTACAATTGTACAATGGGTTATTAATAACCCATTGTACAAGCAAAATCTACGAAAAACAAATACATATCTGAATTTTACATACCTTGAAGATCACCCTTCATCAAACCGCATAACAATCGGATACACCAACACAAGTTGTTCACTTTTAAACAATTATTATTAATAAACAATTTTCCGCAGCTATCGCGTGTAAAGTACCTTCAACTGAAAGCGTCAAGTTTAAACTGATATACAAGACAAAATATACGTATTTTATATAGTTTTTTCAATACAGCATGGAGACAGGTATTAACTACCCATCTAACTCAAATTTGAAATTTAAATTTACCTGAAAAAAAAGTCAATTTTTGAGGGTTTGCCGATATTTTCGAGAATTGAAACACTGTGAGACTTAAAATACATCTGATAGCGACGCGTCGCGACGTTTGACCAACGTACCAATGCTTGCTGGAATAGACCTTACTCTTAAGATTAAACCCAAAGAGAAAAGTCCAAAGTCACGATCTTGATGGCCAATTGATTTCACTTTGTCTAGAGAAGATGCGACCTGGATAATAATCATTCAATAAAACCGTTAACAATTGTTGCAATGGCTGCCCAGATAGCACAAGAGGTACCCAGGACGTCCATTTCGGGTCGCACATAGGTCCGAACGTCTCAGGCCTATATCGGAAGTTTTGGATAAGTCCAGTCTCTTACTTATTTGGGAAAATTAAAGCAGATATACTCGGTACGCCCAAGGACGTAACTTTTGTTTCTTTTTTAGCAATTAAAGCTTGGTATTTCCAAAGGGTCTAAGTGTCAAGTTGGCTAAATAATATATTATCATTTAAAAATAGTTTGTCATGCAGAATGACTTAAAAAAATATTCCAACATTTATATGTTCAAAATATTTGTTTTTCATTGATAACTCACAATTTTATTTTTGTCACTTAGACCCTAGGGTCTAAGTCTAGCTTTGGGAATACCACTCTTCAATTATGTAGAGCTTGTCCAATAATCCCCAATAAAGTAGGTATTTCAGGATGGCCAGAGGATGTCTTACTTAGGGACGTTCTGGGGACCGACGATTTGGTAACATCGGATGTCCCTGGTACGTCCTGGGGAAGGTTCAGGGCCTGATTCGGACGTACTCGGGACTTACTAATGTCCCAATTCTATTGAAACCATAAATCGTCGATATTGATAGTATCCAATGGATACTATCTATTCAGACCACACAAAAATCATCATTCCACGGTAACGCTCATCATTCACTGCAAAGTATTTTGAACTTAATTGCCATGTACCAAATAATATGACTACACAATGTTCAATGTGACGGTGGTCTAGTGCATGCTGACTACAAGCCGGAGGTCGTGGGTTCGAATCCCACCAGGGGTATGGCTGTTTATTTGTGTTTGTCCTATTGTATATTAGTCCTTCGGAGGGGACTTTAAGCCCGCGGTCCGTTCCTACCCCTAACCCGCACAAGCCATTCAGTTGGCTTATGGGACTTCTTAAGAAGTAAGGGTGGAACTAAAATAGCACTTTTGTATATAAACATCTATCCGTCTTATTGGAACACCCTTTGCATCCGTCAACCATGCTAATTTTAGATTGCATCAGATTCGTTGTTTATTTTGTTACCATATGAACCGTTTTTAGATGTGATAAATAGAAAAGGTTATTGATTAATGTGGACCAATTATTTTTTCACAAAATATTGTATTGAAAAAACAATTGTGACTTTTATACTTAAAACATCACCCTACAGTGTGGCATACTGTTAGTAATCATTATCAAACTATAGTTCGTGGTCTTTGCTTGTTGAAATTAAATAAAAATCAATTTATTGAACGAAAAAATAATTTATTATTTATCATATCCCATTTGTACATTTTTCCATTTCTCAACTAACTTAGAAACACCTTTTTTCTTCATTGCCAATCCAGGTCCTAATTTCACCTGAAAATAAAAAAACCAAAATAAAAAAATAAATAAAATCAAAACAGGTTTTCATATTTTGAATATTTAAAAACATATGTTTTTTTATTGTAAGTCATTGATTAAAATAAAAAAAACATGATAAAATTACTTTAGATTTCTTTTTCTTTTTTGTTGAATCCAGACACGCTCCATTATTTTCAGGTTGTGTTTCTTCTAGTGGAACAGGTGGTGAATTTGAATGATCGATTGCTGCTATATCAGAATAAAACGAATCCAAAGCTGTTGTTAATGAGGTATCTGCAGTGGAATCCTAAAAACATACAAATTGCCGTTGCTTAAATTCGCAATAGGTGGTCATTTTTTTTCTTCGTCAAATTTGTTTGATTTAGTGCAATATACAGGGTATCACAAAAATTGCGTAGTTACGCGATAGGTAAAGTTATTTAAACTATAAAATATTAAATTTATCTTCAACCGTTCTTTAATTTAAGCTCTACCAAAGTATTCGCTTATCTCCTAGCCTGTAAAAATAGTTTAAACCACTTAGGTAAAAATTTTTACATCCTAGTGTGTAAAAAACCCGTTAGGACCAATACAAAAATTGTGACAACTCTAAAACTATCTAATCTAACTGCATATACCTTATTATATTAAATTATACTTTAATAATTGTTATTGAAATTATTGTAAGTAACTTACTTAAAGTATGTTTTATGAATCGTTTAACAAATAAAACTGTGCCTTGAAGATAAACTGTTATGTGGCCTTCAGCTTTGCTCAACTTTGAGCTCAGCACAAAAGGACATTATTATGCATAATAACTACTGTATTTTGTTGACAAGTAGTTTTTGGATTATAAAGATGCGACTAAATTGAGCATTTTAAAAGGGCTAGATACACCTATGCCCTAGACATTTTCCTATGAGGTAATTTCGTGTCTACAAGACTTGCGACGACTTATCATGGATGAATGCCGTCAATTAACTCCCCAATTACTTCAAAATATTAAAAGGGGTTTTAAACAAAATTTGTATGTTTATATGGAAGAATAAGAAATTACGCTGTTGCAACTTTAACTTAAAATATCTCGAAAACGAATGGATAGAATTTAATTCTTTTAAATTCCGATACTCAGTCAATCAAGACTGTTCAAATAAAGTATGACTTGCCCAATTTAGGGTGTATTATCTTTGGTTGTGATCACTAAGCGAAGTGGTGAAGTGATTTGCAAGGGAAATCTATTACAAAAGATGTCCCCCTTAAAACTGAAGTTGACTTGTCTTTGCGGTTTTTTTTAATCAGTGCTTACTACCCAAAAAATGCTCTGTTTAAGCCACCCTGTATTATTGTAACTTCCCTTTAAGTTTTTTTTCTAGCCTAACGGCCTCGTGAGCAACTTTAACACTCGCTTTTTACACTTGTAAAACAAATAACTATTACAATATATTAAAATTAAATCAAATATATTGAAAAAAATCCAAATCCAATTCAATATATTGGAAAAATCCAATATTTTGAAAATACATTCAATACATTGAAAATTATAATAATAATTATTGAATGTTTTATACATACTAATAGTAGGCAGTTAACTGTGTTGCTGTGCTAATTAGTAATTGCTTAAGCTAAACCCTCCTATCTGCAATATTAAGTAATAAAGGACAAAACATAATTTTAATTAATTTTAACAATTAAAATGATCTTTTGTCCTTTATTACTTATAATGTACATACGTGGGTTGGCCTTAGCAGGGAAGTGCTATGCGATATTAACGTTCCAAGTACGGTTTTCAGGTTAATTTTTGATTTGATTATTTAAACAATTACTATGTCTTGTTTTTATTGTGTATATTTTATATTGAAATAAATTTGATTTGATTTGGCTTCCACGCAGGAGGCTCGGGTTCAATTACCGGTGGAGAAATGTTTTTTTTTTTAATTTTTTATCTCTCAAAAAACTTCATTATAGAAAAATTATCAAGTTAACTTGATACAATTTGGCACTACTTTTTCTCTCTTAAAAATACCCTATTTTCAGGGCCGAATTTACACAAAAGTACTAAGTTCTCATTTTTTCCAATACGTTTTTGTCAGTAACAACATATCTTTAATTTTTCGTTCTAAAATGGAAATGTCAAAACATTTTCCCAGAAATGTTTTATAAAGTTATTGAGCCAAAAGTAGAAGCACAAATGGCAGTGTATTCCAATGACGGCAATGACATGATGGCGTATGCCCATAAGCCTTATGGCATAAGGCGAGCAATCTGAACTGAAGAGAAGAATTCCATGCAAATCTTTCATATAATAATAATAATAATAATATAGTTTATTTGCTTCCAAAAAATACAAAGCACGTCAAGGTAAAAATAATATAAGGTAAGAAATGTAATGAGTAAAACATATTGAAATTGGTAAGACAGAACGTATTAAAAACATGTTAAAAATATTACAAAACAAATTATAAATATTACAAAACAAGGACAAATTAAAAAATTCATTAAAATCGTAGATAACATTATCCAATAAAACTTTTTTTATAGTATCTTTAAAATTTGGTTTACTTTTGAGTCTTATATCTATTGGCAATTTATTGAAAAACTTGATACCCCAATGGTTAAATGAGTTTTGGGTCCTGGAAATTCTGTTTTGTGGTGTCATCAAATTTGTCGTGTTCCATATCCATGATTAGAATGGTCTGTATAGGAGTTTTGATTTGAGTGAACATACATTAGACAGGTAAGTATGTAAGTAGCTGGTAACGTCAGTATTTTAAGTTTTTTGAAAAGTGCTCTGCAGCTTGTTGTTTGACCTGTTCCTTCAATGGCTCGTATTGCTCTTTTTTGTAGGAGGAATATTTTGGTGGCCTCCGCTGATGCCCCCAGATCATTATACCATATGACATTAAACTATGAAACTGTGCATAGTAGGTAAGTATCGCCGCCTGGTTATCTATGATATTACGTATTCTACGAATACAATATATGGATGTTGACATTCTTCTGGACAGCTTAGCTAAAGGGTGGGCCATGTTTATGTTGAATTATAAAATAGCAATGAGAACAAGAAAAACTGATTTTTTTTCAACGAATTTTGCTTTATTTGATACAATGTTTCTTCCGATTAAGTATGGAAAATGATTTTATTTAAGTGGCCACCTCAGCTGGCTCGGCAGTAGCCCATCCTGGAACACCAATTTTCGAGCACTTTGTCAAAAGTTTGCTGCTCTATTTAGGCAATTTGAGCTTGAATGTTTTGTTTTAAATGGTGAATGGGCTTTGTTACGGCGACGTGTGGATTTTCCGTGGCCCAAATCCTACAGTTTTGCTTGTTGACATAACCTCCGAGGTAAAAATGCGCCTTATCCGAAAAAATGATTTTTCTTGCAAAATTAGGGTCATCGTTCAACTGGTTTAAAGCCCACTCAGCAAATCGAAAACGTTGTGGATGGTCAACTTGCTTTAACTCCTGAACAAGCTGGCTTTGTACGCAAACATACCGAGGTCTTTGTGCAGAATCATCCTCAGAGTGGTACGGGAAAGGCCGAGTTGATGTTGACGCGTTCATGCGTACATTTTCGGCCACAGCAGCGATTGCTTCAGGTGTACGTCTAGGACGAGCATGCGAAACATGTTTTATGTCCACCAGCATTCCATTTCTGCGCAATTTTTTGATCAAATTTGTAATACTTTGGTTTGACGGCGCCTCATTTCTTCCAAACGCAATTTTCTTGCCGTCTCTGCGATCACAGTCACATTCAAAGTAAGTTTTGAGTATTTCGAAACGTTGATCCAAATTTATTCGGTGCATATTTTGTAATCGGAAGGTTAAAACTAAACCACTGTCAACAATTCATGGCTCTTAAGTTGAAAGCTTCATTAATAACACGTATTTTAAAATTCAACTTATAGATGGCCCACCCTTTATATGCGTAGACCAGTTTAGACGGCTATCCAGATAAAATCCTAATATTTTTATATGCGTTGGATTTGCATAGTTTGTGCTGCATATAGTTGTTTGTGTTTTTTCTAAGTTTAACTGTAGACCATTTGCTTTGTACCATAAATGTGCTTCATCTATGTTTTGCCTTTGTTTGTTGTTAAGGGTTAATATTTCTGTGTGGTTGTTGATAATTGTTGTATCGTCTGCATAGATACACATTTTTGCGCATGTTACGTTTGATGCAAGATCATTTGTGTATAATATGAATAAAAGGGGACCTAAAATCGATCCTTGCGGAACTCCTAGATTTATGTTTTCTTCTTTGGATATTTGACCATTCCATGCGACAACTTGGCGTCGATCTTTTAAGTATGAGCAAAAAATACGGTTGGCTGGTCCTCGCACTCCATAAAATTCCAGTTTTTTTACCAATAGGTTGTGGTTGACACAATCAAAAGCCTTACTGAGGTCCAGGCATCCAAGTTGTGATTTTTGCTTATTGTTAAAGGAATTATTGATTGTTTCGATTATCTCCACCATCGCAGTTAAAGTAGATCTTTCCTTTCTGAACCCGTGTTGGTATGGGCTTAAAACTTTTTTTTGTTCAAGGTATTTGTACAATCTATTTTTAAGTAGCATTTCCAAAATTTTTGATATTGCTGGCAATATAGATATAGGTCTATAATTTTTACTGTTGTTTGGATCATCTTTTTTAAATATTGGAGTTACCTTGGCTAGTTTTAAGTTGTATGGGAAAATTCCCTGTTGGAAACATTTATTAAATATATTACAGAGTACTATGGAAATTTCTGGAATAACAGCTTTTAAAATTTTAACTGACATACCATAGACATCCAGGGAGTTTTTGGAGCTGAATTTTCGGACTTCTGTCAAAATTTCATCCGATGTTATATCATAAAGGAACATTGAGTTTATTGAGTCTATATTTAACCTGTGTAGGAAATCCATGGCAGAATTTTCTACAACTTGTAACCCCAGATCATTCGCTACGTTTGCAAAATATTTATTAAAATCATCACATATTAATTTAGATTCCCTATTATTACTTTATTTTTTTATTTTCGAGTTTATAATATTCCAGGTGGCTTTAATTTTGTTGTCTGAATTTTGGTTGTAGTCGAGATCTTTTGTTTTTGAAATGTTCTCTAATTCTTGTTTATATGCTTGTCTTAGTTCTTGATATAGGCCTTTTGAGATTGTGTCTTTTCTTACCAGTGCTATTGTATGGGCTGCATCAAGTTGGTTTTTTAGAAGTTTTAGTTCTGCTGTTGTTTTGTATTTTTTTACCCTGGACGATAACTTTATATTTTTTTCAGAAAATGAAGAGTTAAAATGGTTCAATAGAGTAG